TTTCAAAACCATATTTTCAATATGGACTCATACACGGTCCGAGGGTTAAAAACCAAAAGCTCTGATACCAATAAATGTAACCCCCTAAACCCGGCCTATGCGTTTCGACTAAGTCTAGTGGATCACATACATGATTTTTAAAGACATTTTCTGAAACCGATATCCAATCAATGTAAAACCACATTATTCATGACATAAAATTATAATAAATTATAATATTAAAACTCAACTCTTAAATATAAAACCAATCAGTAATAAATTAATTTAAAACATATCTTAAAAATCAAAACCCCGATAAACTGAATAGTTATAGCAAAAGTATCATAATTATAAAATCCAATACTTTAAAATATATCCATGTCACCAGAATAAAGTCAACTTGCAAGTTTAAAATATTACAATCAGATATACTTCAAGAGATATGTTGATCCTCCAAGTGCTCGAACCGAGGTATCTAACCAACAGTATCTGAAAGAGGAAAAACATTTTCGAAAGGTGAGCTAGGCTTAGTGTGTCCCAACATTACCATAAAATCATAATAGGTACATTAAACAAATCATAGTCCAGTAAATCTTACAAATTCGTAAAAGAGTTTAACTTTTGAAAATCATAGTTTAAACCCTTTTCTGGTACACTATCAGTAGTTCCCAAAATTATTTTCCATATAGCTTACTTTATGCACATAGCAAAAAAAGAAAGCCGACTTAAGGATAGGCTATGAAGCTTGTATCCTTAAGCCCAAGTCAATAAGTCCATATAGCTTACCCTAATAACACAGTAAGGGAAAGCCGACCTAATGAAACATCTTGGGGCCCTCAAGAGTCACATTAGGCCCGTTTATTAACTTGATTAGAGCTATACAATTGTAGTTCAATCCATCCCAAAATCAATATCCATATACCAGTCATCAAAGTCCATAAATCATCAACAATAAATCGGTGTACCAACAATAATAAACCATAGATTTCAATGTACCATATTTCAAAACATATAAAACCATTATGTAGTAAACAGGAACACACCTCGATAATGGGTTCAGATAGTAGATATATTGATTGCTGGTTTCACCACGCTCTGCTACAATTTTCGAACGGGTGAATACTGGTATACATGGTTTAACTGTTCTAGAAGAGCTGGGTCAAGCTGTCGAACGATCCGGAGAGTCTCTTGTACCTTCAAACAATAATAATTTATCAACCCCAAATCTTACTTAATTATTCAAAGCTAAAATTCTTAAGTATATAAGCATTTTTTGGGTTTGACTATCATTTTGGGGTATTTCGAGTCTGAATTTGGCCAAACGGATTGCGGAATCGGAATCAGGACGTCGAAAAACATAAAGTATGAATTTTAGAAAATTCAGATTCTTGGTCAAAGTCAAAGTCAACCACTTTGACCGTCAATTTGGAGGCCTTCGGGTTTGAATTTGACAAAACAAACTTCAGAAACGGATTCGGGACGTCGAAAACTATCAGAATAGATATACTCGGAAAAGATTTACAGTCGTTTAAGGGTAGGTCAAAGCCATTTTAAGTTTTGGTCAAAGGAAGTCAACGGTCAACGATCAACGGTCGGGTCGGGTCAGACCAGTCAAATCGGTAAGGACCGGTCAAACTGGTTCAGATCGGTCAAACCAGTTCGAACCGTTCAGAACCGGTTGAAAACCGGTCAAACCGGTTTCCAGCCCTCCACTCTCCCTGCGGCGGCGCGTGTGGCGCGTGAGGCCTCTTCCGGGGGTCTAAAAATTCCGGAAAAATTTCTAAAAATTATTTTAAGCGATTTTGAGATACTTACATAGATCGGTTCAAATTTTTGAACGGCGGAGAGCTCGATTTCGACTTGGCCGAATCTTTGACTGCTCCACCTCCTCACGCGCCGCCGTCGACGGCGAACAAGGTTGACATCGGCGGACTCAAAACGACACGAGGAACACGATGGTGCAGGAGGTGTCGTAAAAGGAGCAACGATCGGCGGTGAATTTAAGATTTTCCCGGCGATAGAGCTAACAAAAACATCGAGACTTTGACTGTAAATTCCCGACGTTTGGCAGCGTTTCGCTTCAATTAAATTGAAGGATTTGTTCCACGCTCGATGATGAACACAACGGTGGTTTTAAAACGACGATCGGAATTTGGACGGCGCCGAAATCGAAGTTGGAAACTGCGTATGGGAAAGGAAAATTGGGAGCATTTTGGTTCTGAAAATCAGAACCAAATGCACGCTTATAATCAAAGCTGCCGACAGTTTTAGGGTAAATTCAAGGCTTGATCCTTGGATTTCCTTCACTTCTAAAATGGCCTATAAACTCTCATAAGTTTTGATTTAGTCACCAACAATTTACCAATTTTCACAATTAACCTCCAATTTCAATTAAATATTATTTTGTAAATATTCGGGTTGTTACACTCCCCCTCAACGAAAGCATTCCAAAAAAAATGACTTTAAAAATTTTACACTAAAAAACTATTGAATTTCAAATATGAACAATCATTTTAGTAACATATGAAATTCAATAAATTCAAGTCTAAACTACTTTATGCAAGATTAATTGTGATACATTAAAGTTCCTATGCATAAATCTATAAAAAAATGTTATGCATTTGAGAAATTGATATCGATTGTTAAAGAGATATCATTTGCAATAAATTACATGCATAAACATTTAAATTTAAAGTCAAAAAATCAAAGTTTGTAAAAACAAAGCATTAAAAACATATTTGACCAAAATTATTATGATGAGCTAAAATTTATGAAAAAACCATTGAAACTTTAAAAAAATATTCATCATAATACATTTTAACATATATGAGATGAAAAACAACATATAATCATTTATGTTCAAAACTCATGCATGCATAAAACCAAATAGGCAACAAATAATGTAAAATAAAAAACATTTAAGTGTAGAGGTTACCCATTCCTCATCATGTGTGGCTAGAGCATTTGAATTTCTTCATTTTTGTCATCATTGCTCCCACACACCTACAAGAGACATTATTTATATGTTATTCATTAGAATTATAATTGTTATTATCCATTATCCAGGATTATATTTGTTTTTAATAATTTGTTTATTTCTGAAATTAAATTTTTATTTTCAAAATTAAATATTAAAAGGGTATATTAATATTAGAATATTAAAATATAATTGTAAAATGTATAAATATAATATTTTAGAAGTGTTGTGATTTTTGAGGAAGAAATCACATTCGCCATAGCTGCGACACGTTACGTAACGTCCGTAGTATCCAGAACCGCACACCGCAATCACCATTTAATACTATACTCCAAAGTTGAACATGATGCCGAGATCAACCTGTTTCTCTCCGGATATCTCTTCAACCTCATCGTCCGAGCCAAGATAGCCATCGAGCTTGCCTATCCCAATACTCCGACATCCTTATTGTCACTGCACGTGACGATGCTCGGTGAACCCTACTAACGTTTACCTTAGCTGTAAAGATTCACGGTTGTCATCGGCTTCTTCGATAAAAGGGAAGTTGCCTAATCCCAGCATGGGCATGTCACAACTCAACAACCTCTTTGCTTCAAGTGGGTTCATTATTCAAGAAATGGTGGCCTTCAGATGCACATACGATTGGGTTCTCTCATTGCAAAGAGTTGAGCTCAAATATCTGTTACAATCCCAGATTTGCTAAACATTGAAACAAGCTTGTGCAGATTATCCAAAGAACCCAACTCATCTGCTTTTAATGATATCATGACACCAATAAGTTTGATAACTTGTATTGTATTACCAGAATTTACCAAAGGGTTGAGGTTTTTGGATCAGATCATGGATTGTATAATGATCCAAGAACAAGGCCATTTGTGGATTTGTGTAAAAAGGAAAAAAAACAAGTTCTTTCAAGATTTTGCTATTGCTCTATATGCATATTTAGTTCAGAGTTATAGAGTTCAAATCTTTTGATTTTGTTGTTGTTCAATGCTTTAGATCTTCGTGTGTTTGTTTAGCTTGACTAGAAATATCGAGTTTAGTGGAAACATGAAGATAAAGTAACACAATGAAATCAACTAGAAAGAAGCCTAATTTCAAAATTTTCAGTTGGTTTTGCAAACTCCCGACGCTCCAACTCCGCTCAATGAAATAACACATGAAGGCTCAAGAAGCTCAGAAGATTACAGGATGGGATGATGATGAAGCTGGCAAGTTGCTCAAGGACTCGGAAAGTGACAGGACTGGAATCCACCACGAATTAGATGATGACCGAATAAGGGCTACAGCTCTCCAATTCATTGCATAAGTTTAGTGTTATTGCATGAATAGTGTTTATATAGAGGACCAAGAATCTCTAATGCCATTGTGTTTTGTTTTGTTATGATGTTCATCTATTCTTTTATTTATTTTGTTCCTTCTTTCTGAGATCTTTTATTATTATTAAGACGAGAGTATTGTATTTCAGAGAAAAATATTAGTATTCGAATTCAACATAAACATCTTTGACCAATCGATCAATTAATGGATCTCTTCTTTCTTTCTTTTTTCTTTTTTCTTTTTTACAATTGTTTATGGTGATCATTATTAAGCTTTAAGATGACATTTAGAGGGAGAGATTAGGATTAATTCCACAGCTAAGGTTGTTAAATGAACAGGCAGTTCTTTAACTACCTTAACGAGGTTGTATTCCCATACCACTATCTTATCCCGAAGACCGCATGAATTGAGACTTAACCAAACATTCATCGTCTACTCGACATCTCAACTAGCTTCACCCACAGGAACAGTTATTTCTGTCCTTCCCAAAATTTTTAAAAACTCATCCCTCTTAAAATTATAAAATTCATCCTCTTCTTAAGATTTTAAAAATTCATCATCATAACATAAAATTATAAATTACACGTGTGTCTCTATTACTCGTGTTAGGGTTATTGTGTCTATGTTTTAGCCTACTCCAAATGCCCTTTTCATGGAGTTGCAGCCGGCCCCCTCCATTGCTTAGCAAGTGTTAAAAACAACGAGGCTAAGGAACAAAATTGTGGAATATGTCAACAAAGTTGCTTCTCGATTACTCCCAGCATCCACCATGAATCGTGATGCAAGTAAACATCATTTTCGATTGAGAATATATCAGATTCTCAAGCATCCATTTTCATGTTTATCTTCATAATAGGTGCAACTATATATATTGCAAAAGCGAGAAGAAGAGAGCAATAAAAAAGGGGAGGTACCGTCCCCTTCAAACTAAGCACTTCAGATTACCATACTTAAACTAAACCCTTAGTGCCACCTGATCTAGCCATGTGATCTTTCGCTTTCCCACTCTGCTCGGGCCGTTCCCGGTGTTCCAGCAGGCGGATAGCTTAATATCGTTGTGCTGCTCGTCGTTTACGATTCTGAATGAACTTTTCTTGAGTTCCTCTATTCTCGTTGAGTTAACATTAGCCTGTAGCTCTTCCTCCTGTGTCTGCAATGGAATGAAAGTTGACAAGAAATCAGCTCAAGATCAAAGATTGTAGCATACAAATTTACAGACAATAACTCGTACAAACTACCAGTAGATTACCGAAATCTGGTTTAAATCAAAAACCGGTGACATGCTTCGAGCAGCAGCATCCTTATCGCTGTAATGCGTTTCCTTCTGGTTCAAGTCGAAAGCCGGTAAAGAACTTGGCAAAGTAACTTCCTCCTTTTCACTATAAGTCTTTCCCTTCTGGTTCAAATCAAAACCAGTAGCTCGGTGTCGCAAAGAATGCTCCTTTCCGGTTGATTGCTTTCTCTTCATATCCGGCTTACTTCCGATAATAGTATTCAGTGGCTGCGCACAGAATTGTTCTGCCCGTGTGTTTGAAGATTGATTTTGCATCAAGAATTTGCGTCTCCTTTTCAAAAACCTAACAACAAATATGATCAAAATTCCAACCCTTAAACTTTATCTATATTAATAATTACAATGCTGATGTACTGCAAATCCTACAAATTTATGGAGGAACAAAATCATACCGGACTTCGGCCAAAAGGGTCGATTTTCGTTCTTTCAACATCTGCAATCTCTTTCTCATGGCCACTGTTTCCTGTAAAACACAGCAGAAATAAGTTGAGACTATAATCAGGGTTTGAGGCAAGTCTATAAAATACTAGTAATTTCAGAAACAATAAAAAAAGGTTAAATTTGATACAGCATGAAAGCCATGAAACTCGAGGATTTTGATGCAAAAAAAAAATCAATAATTCTATCATCAAACTTTACAGTAAACAATACATACATATACATTATAATCATTTTAGTCAATCAAACCTATGAAAGCTCCCAGGACCAAAACAACAGAGAGAACCATCAACTGAAACAATAAGATCCAACAGATCATTTCCAATTCATATTCTTATACCAAAAGAAAAACACAGAGAACTAAAAACACCGGATCTAATAAAAAAGTAAGAAAAAGCAACTCGAAATCTAAAAAATCAGCAAGAAAGTTAATACCTTGTGCAAGTCTTGAAAGTCTTGCAAAAGGCTCTGGTGTTTGAACCTGGCCGTTTGATCCTCGTACATGGCATGTCGAGAATACTCCACAGAAGCAGCAACCCCTTTCATCTTCTTCATGATCCAAAACACAGGAGGAGATTATGAGAATAACCCCCCACAAGGACCAAAAATAAGCAAATATGAAGAAGATAATGAGACAAGGGGGAGAAAGGAGAAGGGTATTTGATAAGAAAAAATGAGAAGTGGACAAGAAAATGATAAAGAGGAAAGAACAAGTGTGGAGAGAGAGAGAGAGAGAGAGAGAGAGGAAGTTTCTGGCTTTCCTGTTTAATCTGTGAAAAATCTGACCAAGACAAAGAAGCCCACATATTCAACTGGGTGAAAAATAAAAGTTGTATCTTTAGAGGAGTTGAGACAGTGATGAAGATGGCTTTTTTCGATGGGTTGCAGAAGGGTATTTCTGGTAGACATGGCTCTCTTTTTTTTGGAGCACAGTTGAAGACATCCATATCTGTATCTATCCATCTCCTCTCTATCTTTGCTTTCTTTTTCTTTTTCTTTTTCATTTATTTTTCTTCTACTATAGCATAAATTCTGGTCCTGCTGAGCTGAGCTGGGCCATTGAAAGAAAGAGTGTTCGGTGGTGTGTTGTTGTGGACTCTTGGATGGTGCGTGGAGTTTCCATCTTTCTTTCTTTCTTTTTCTGTGTGGCTTTTGGTGTGTGGTTTGCTGAAAATAAAGCAGTGAAAGATAAAATAGGATGATGATGATGGTGTTTTTTGATGTGTTTGTTCTTCTTGTCCTGTTGGTGCTGGCCTTGTTGGGGTGTTTCAGCTGCCCAATGAACCTTATTTTTAGGCTTTCACAGGCCACACAGTCATTATTTTCTTTTCAATGTTTTTGGAGTTACGTTAACATTATTACTATCGTAACTATTATATATCAGCCTCCTTGTCTTGTGAAATCCCAAATCTACCCTTTACTTTCCTTTGTTCTCAAGGATTCCTTCTCTCCTACCACCTTCCAAAAAAACCCCTCATCTATTGAAAAAAGAAGGGAATAAACCTCAAATTTGGCTTCAAGTTAGAAGGTCATAGTCAGTCAACTTAAAGTGAATTTTATAGCATCAAATCCCATTTGCAGGCTTCCTTAATAGTTCCCCGTGTTATTAAATTGGCTAAAGTGTCAGTAATTCATCTGTTATATACCCTTTGAATTCATGGTCTATGAGAGATTGAGGGTGAAAAAGAAAGCTGCTATGGGGGTTCTCTTGAAATCTGTAAACACCAGTCGGTGACCAGATGCTTACTATTGTTTATTCATTTAAAATTATGCAACCCTCTGTCTAAAAGATGCAACAAATCATATGTGTGATGCATTATTTATGTATGACAGTTTCAGATAGAGAACACAGAGAGAACTCTAGCTTGTTCTTTTTCCAATAATTAATGTTATCTGATATGGACATGTGAGTGTGTGAACATAAAGATTAAGCATCAACACCCATCACTCGTCCAAAAGGAAATAAATATGCTTTCAGCTTAAGCAATGGATTCTCCATCATCACCATCAAGTGCTGGTAACTTTGCTTATGAGTTAAGCTAGTGGGTCATTAAATGACAAATAGAAAACAAAGTGATCGCTCTCCCCACCATTGACGACTTGTGGTGCTCACTGTTACTGTTTACATATCAAAATTGTTCCCTTATTTGCCCTTTAAACTGAAAATGATAATGCTGCAAATGAAACTGCCCTGTGTAAAATACTTGAATTCTGAATGTATCATCATTTTGGCGACCACTGTTTGTGGTCCCTGTCCCATGGAAAGCTGACACTGACAGAACACAGAAAAAAAGAAAGAAGAAGAAGAGAGCCAAGGCAAATGACTGACCCTGCAACTGCACTGTTTTAAAAGTCAAAGCTACTTGAAGCAGCAGAAGCTCGATGCCATACGAACTTGGATCTACAATATTACGAAATGTGGAGAGCTGTTGAAGCAGGGTCAGTAAAAGTAGGTTCCAAAGGCCTTTTACAGTTATGGATACTGTTTTCTGTACCTAGAAACATCTTATCACTGTAACATTCGGAAGCGTACCATCACATTGCCACACCATCTTTACAAAACATAGAACAGCATGAAGGAATTTGGAGTTAAAACTATTGATTCTAAAGAAAGGCTCGAGGTTGGTCGAATTTGGAGGTTTAGATGACATTTTTAACACAAGGAGAAGCTAAGTGGATTTTTCTAGTTCAAAACTTAGAATGTGTTTAGATATAACTGTTAGAACCTAGCTTAAAACCTGCCATGCCACGATCCATTCGAACCCCAGACTTGTTGAATGCCGCTTTCTTAGTTCTTACGAGTGGCCGCTGACTGCATATTCCAAGTTAAGCCTCGGGGTTTGCAATGCAAACCAGCTGGTAGTGACTTGTTTTATTTATGCAGATTTAGCCCTGAAGCTCTAGGTGTGCGAGCTATAAATGGAATGCTTTGCTGGTAATTCCAAGTCCCGCTTGAAGCAACGCTGCATACAGACGTGCCATTGCTCGACATAGTTGCTTATGGATGATACAGTTTCGCTGCAGTTTCGAGGATTGTTCGGAGTTACAGTTTCTATGTTTGTGTATGGGGGAGGAGGCCAAGAGGTCTGAACATCATTCAAGCAAGCGCCATGACATTTGATCGCTTCAAAGCGTATAAGTCACGACAAGAAATTCTCAATTCCTCGGATTACTGTACTTTGTTGTGCTCTGCATACAAGCTAGTGTTGAAATTCCTGGATTTCCAACAAAGAGCTTGCTTATACCATGCAAACCACTGATTTGAATTCTTTTTTTTTATATTTATTTCCCTCAAGAACAGAGATGAACTAAGCACTATTCTGTGAGCATCGCTTAAGTTGCAATAAAAGATCAATCTATCTTTAATGATGAGTAGATAAGCCTTATGAACCACAAGCATGCACAGAAACCAATTGTTACCGTTAGCACGAAGAATGCATAAGATTCAATCAACATATACCCGAAGTACAAAATTCCGGCTTTGTGATCTCAAGCTTGGTGAAGAAGTAGTAGGCAGAATAGAGGAATAGGTAAAGGCCCGATGAACCCGAAGTCAAGTATGACCTCCACCACCACAGGTAATCCTCACTGCATAGCTGGAAGTAGCAGATAACAATGGTGATCTCGGCAGAGGTGACAATAAGAATGACAAAGACGATGAAGAGGAAGCCGAATATGTAATAAAATTGATGCAACCATATTGAGGTGAGGATGAAAAAAAGCTCAATGAAAATGACCCCAAATGGAAGTATGCCACCGATTAGGATGAAGAAGACCGAGTTCATGTACCATACACGTTTAGGAATTTGCCTTGGGATCTTATTAGTTTTCACTGTATCCTCAATTGCTGGCTTCTTGAAACAGATATAACCACCTACGAAAACAAGCTGGACCGAAATGCCAAACCATAAAAATACCAGAGCAAACATGGTTCCGAATGGTACCGCCCCAGAGGATTTCTGGCCCCAGATCAGAGCATTCAAGACGGAGAAAATGGCAGAGACTGTTGCGGGGAACATAACAGCCGTTTTGAGTGTAATTTTCTTCCACTCTGTTCCCTTGGACTTCTTATAGAGACACCTGATGAATATCCGGCGAACATGCCCATGAAGACCCAGAGTAGAAGTATGGCTGTCATTATCCCACCTCTGTTTGAGGGGGAGAGGAAGCCTAGGAGAGCAAAGATAAGGGTAACAAGAACCATAAAGAAAAACCGAATCCCGGTTCCGACTGACGCACAAAGTAAGTCGAAATTCGTTGGAGGCCTAAAAACATCCCCATGGACCAGTTTCCACCCTGACTCCACTTGAACTTCTTCTTGGTTTTCAAGTTGGTTGTACTTTGAGATATCCCGATAAAGAGCCCGCAGCATGATCATGGCTACCATCCCCGAGAGGAAAAGAGCAATCATCAAAGAATTAAAAATCGAGAACCAATGAACTTGATCATCAGCAACCAGAAGATAGGAATTCCATCGGAATGCCCACTTTATATCACTTTCCTGCAAGACGACAAGAAGGAGCAAGTTTCACTAATGAGATAACATCAGAACTGGAATCGTTGTTTTATGAAGAGTTTCAAGGAACTACCTGGAAATCCACATCATATGTAAAGATTATCTCCTTGTCGTCAAGCTCCTGAGGTGGTTCGGAACCTGTAACTGCACGTTTTGCATGGGGATCACAGGTAATCAGACGTGTCTTCTCATTCCAATGACCATCATATTCATGTTTAACGCTACATTCATCAAAACGATTCGCTAAGAAATCTACAAAATAAACACCAACACCGTTGATGTCATATCATAAATAATGTAAATTTTAACTTGAATGGATTGACCCCAAATCCAACGATTCTTGTAGAATTTGCCGGTGGATCCATGTGATATTTGACCGTAAATGACAAGCGATTGTAGATAAAATGTTTTTCTTTCTTGCTCTGCACGTAAGAAACCAGAAAAATCAGGAATTGTTAGCCTCAACAACCTTGCAAAAAGATCAAAATTATTCTACAAAAGTGACAATCAATCCAGCATTTACCCCAGCATACTTTCCTCAAAGACCAACATGAAATCCTTGCTGATACACTACAGCATTTTCCTGATCGGCCTTTATCGGAACGACCAATGGAAGGTTATCCAAAATCCTGCCACAAGCAATTCATCATTATTGGTTGCTACTCATACAAGAAACGGAAAACTACAATTAAGAATTTTCCGAACGAGAGCCTCACATGTTAACCCGATACTCATATTCAATCTTATCCCTGAATGCTGTCATCATTTCTTTGTCAAGAATCTTAGGACACACAACATTGCACATTTGTGGTTCTCTCATTTTAAACTGCAAATATACAAGCCTGTCAACCACTGAAAAGCCCGAAATACAGTAAATAAAAATAAAGAAATGATCATGGAATCCAAACCAACCACATAAGGAGAATTTTCAATTCGATCACCAGGGAGAATTTCTCCAAGATTCTCTGCAACGTCAAGTATGTGTTCGGGCTGACAATAGGGCAGAGAATAGTAAGAATAAGGAAGTAGCGTTTTAGTTGAAGTCAGCTTATTCACTTTCACCAACAATGGATCCCCCTGCATAAATGGAGAGAGTACTCGGTAAAATTACACTGAAACCATCCCTTTGACACGGTAAGCTTTAAGGAATGTCTAAAATTCATAAATGTTCTTCGAACTTTGAGCCAAACTGACCATTGAAACGTGTATCGATAATAAACAAATAACTTTTTTTTTTTAATAGTGAGAGGTGAATACAAAAATAGTGTTTGTTCAAATCTTTTCTTAATCATTAACAATATACACCCTCACAGTTGGTCAAACCCGGTGATTACAATTGATCAAATATGTGACATCTATTGAAAATAACATTCACTTTTACCATTACTACTGAGGTCACTCAATGGGTTCAACAAACTGTTTAATGCTACGTAAACTATTTAAACTAGACACTTATCAAACTTAACTTCCATAGAATCATGAAATGCAAATTAATTAAACCAAAATGGCCATTCCAGAGTTCATAAAAAGCAAATCTGAATAAAACCCGACAGCAGAATGGAAAAATCAATTCAACCCAAAGATCCAAATTACATGACAATGGATGATGATGTTGATGCATGCATGCATGTATGCATGTAACGATAACTGACCTTTTGAAAATCTTCAGGGGCAACACCAGGGAGGTAGAAGCAACGGGCACCAAGGAAGAAGAAAGCAAACAATGTCCATGCGACACTAAACCTATGAGTATGACACGTCATGGGTTCTGCCCGGATCTAGATCCTATTACCCGATTCCCACTTTCCCTGTATTGAATACTGAACAAAAACAACAATAAAAAAGAAAATGAAAGAGCCTGCTTTGCAGAATTATGATGTTTGTGAGGAAAGAAATGGAGTGAATGAGAGAGAGAGCAGGAAAAGGGTGGTTAGTTGGAAAGGACAAGATGAACCATTGGATTAAAATTCACTGGTTCTGATGGACGGTCATTACTCTTCAACAGGTGGACTTACAATACGGTAAATTAAACCACCAACTTTTAGAAATCATTGCATAGGAAAAGGAATGTCATTGATAAAAAAATGCTATTTTATTTAAAAGATGATTAAAAATTTTTGAATATAGTATTACAATCAGCGATGAATTGAACAAAAGAGAGAATTTTTGCCCTTTCTCTTTCAATCTATTTGTTATCTTCAAAAACTATACGTTCATCGATAGAACAACAAAATCCAAAGTACGAAAAGAGCTAGAAAATGTTGGTATATTACATGCGTGTGAGTTTAGCTGTTCAAAAATGAGGAATTACTTCACAAAAGGTTGTTCATAAAAGAGAAAGAACAGCAGAGAGAAACTGAAATATGTATGAAGGGAGACAACAGTCGACAATTCTTCCAAGCATTACTGCAGCCAGTGTTACTACAAAGCTAAGTTTTTTTTTTATCTGGAAGCATTAGATCGTCAACAAATTTACCCAAAAAGAACAAGAAAGTGTTAACAGAGCTTCAAGTTTGGAGGAATGAAAGTAAATTTGCCAACCTGTAGGGAAAGTAAAGTTTTTAAGCGTTATATATACGACCATAAAAATCAACTACAACCAAAACTTACTACCACAAGTTCTTTATTACTTACAAAAAGGTCCTTTTGGCCCGTGGTTCCAAAACCAAGGTCATACAATGATATCCATCTCTCTTTCCCTAGTGAAGAAATTCCGGCAAAAAACAAATAAAAAAGGGGGTGGGGAATTCTAATGTTGATTTTTTGTTTCTCTCCACTTTAAACACTCTCCTGGTTCCAAATTACAATTTAGCTCATTCTCAACAAGACAGCAAGAATTACTCGTAAACTACAACAGTAGACAGAAGTCAAAATTGCTCCAATTCGATAAAGGATTTCTTTCATGTCCTGAACGGTCAGTATTCTGAACTAGAATGGTTCAACTCGGCCTTCTTAAAATGTGTTTTCTTGCTGGCAATTTGTTGGAAAAGATTTGGACCACCAAACTTGTGCTTATTTTGCCTAATCTTCTTCCGCTTACCCCTGTCATATTCTTCATCCCTGTAAAAGATTAAACATGCACTAGGAGATTACAACCTTCAAACCAGTCAATGCTATTAGGGAAAAAACATTATTTTCCGGATCTTAACAAAACTAGCAGTTGGAATAAAAATATAAAAAGAAAGCATCTATGTTCACTCACCATTCATCTGGAGTGTAACCGATTCCTTTACTTTCCATAATATTTGCTTCTTCGGTCAGAAGCGGTGATGCTATGCCCATATCATCCCATCTTGCAACTGCAGCAAGTAAAACAAGCAAAAGAATGACATGAATGGAGTGAAAGCATAAAAAATTTAAATGCAGATGCTGCACTTCTGAACGCAAGAAATGAATTTCAAAGGTACGAGACAAAAAAAAAGTAGCTGAAATATAGATATTTCAGATAAATTGCGCACAATAGTCTCCCCCAGACCTTGGGTAAGGTCATGCCTATTTGAAGATGAATCTATTCTTCCCTCTTTCAAAGAATCCACTTCTCTTGAATTATGCCAGTTTGCTTCTAAAACTGAGCCAGAACTCCTTTCTGCTTGTTTATCACTTGCAACAGTGCCATTCTGATAAATCCTCTTCTTAACTTCTCCATTTATATTATTCGTCAAGGAACCGGAGTTGTTAACACTTTTTAGAGCAGTACCACTGGCTGGCTTTTTCCTCCTACGATGATTCTTTCCCAAACTGATTGCGCTGGAATTCTCGGATGTAGATGGCCCCAGATCTAAGGGTAAACAATCTTTATCCAATAAAATTTCTTTACGAACATGAGCATTTATTGTGCGTTTCATGCTCCTTTTAAGTTTCTTCTTGCTCTGTATGTGCAGAGATGCCCTGAAAAATTTTAATCTTACGCCAATATGCATGTTTTTAAGCTGACACTTGAGATGCTTCTTCTTTGGCTTTTTATTGGGATCATATCCAGGTGCTTGAGTTTCCAAAGATCCATTGGGAATGCTACAAGGGGGTTTGGAAAGATTCTTTCGGCTACTATCATCTCCCCTCTTGTTTAGTGTCTTATCAATGGTGCTGTGGCAGGGAACATCTCCAACCTGGAAATGAAATGAGAAAAAACAGAAATCAATATACAAGTACTACTATGTTTACCAGTGTTAGATATTGAATATGATAAGTACTATCACCTGACTACTGTCACAGTTTGGCTTATCTGGTGACCTGGTAGCCTGAACATCCTTCAATTTTTCATTAGCAGTACTCATGGATAGAGCTTCACCAGGAACTTTCTTCACTGCTTTATTTTCCAAATCTTCTAGCGCAGCAGTACTTGAAACCCCAATCTTTGAAGCAAAATTAGATAGAAAAATTAGAGAGAGGTGGAAATGACACCCATGTAGGGAAAAGTGGATAAAACTTGCATATTTACCTTCAACAAGGTCTGTTTACTCACAATCGTTGCAGTGCCTGTGTTCTGGAGACCACCACAATCGGGTAATATGGTCAATGGGATTCCAAGACCCGTTTTAGAGTTTCCCCTCTCATGGCAGTCACTATCTTTGACACCAGTAGTAACGGTTGAATTTTCAGTATTAGTAACATTGCCAACCACAGAATAGGCTGATGATTGCAAGTTTTCACCGTGAACCAGGTTTGAAGCACAAGCTTGTGATGAGCCCTGTAATGGTACATTGGAAGGGGGTAACATAGACTCCTTAAGCACCGAGTCTTCTGACATTGGCTGGGCATTATTTGGCTGAGTTGGCACTACCTTCATGATTGTTTCCCTTGACAAGCTACCATTAGCAGTAACATTTTGAATCATAGCAGCATAAGAGCCTGAAGCACTTAACTTATGACCAACAGGACCAGTCTGCACATGCTCTTTCAGATTTTGATTGAAAACAGACCTTCCGTTAACATTTGCTTTTAAGTTGTCCTTCTGAAGAATATCAATAGCTTTTATTGGAGCAGTATTTCTTCTATCTCTGTCACGAACATAGAACAACATGTAAGCTTTCTGCTCCATAACAGTCTGCTCACTGACTTGGACAACCTGTTGCATTATGTTTGAAACAAATAAGGGTAATTCTCAAGGTCAAAGTTAAAACTTCTAGTGAGAGATCTTTCAAGTAATAGAATAAGAAAGAAGAGCAGTTCATCATCCCTACCCTTATATCTCTGTAAATCCCACTACATGTGATGATAGAAATCTATGGTATATGCCGTATTTGCATAAACTAAAGTAGTCATCAAGTTCCAATAATGGACATCTCTTATAACTTACAAACAATGAGCTTCTACATCTTGCAAAAATGATAATGGTTCATCATCTTGATCCTTTTTCCATTTTTACAGCAAATTGAAGAAAACAAGATTGTTCCACATAAGAGGATAATATCCACTCACTGATGATCCTACGAGCAGTCTCATAAAATGAAAAAAATCTAAAATGAAAAAAATCTAAAAGGAAATTTTGTTTCAAATACCCTGTTGTCATCAAGGGAATACCAAAGGCCAGTTGATGTGCGAACAAAACAGTAGTAGTGGCCAGAATGAGTGCTCCATCCACAATGAACCAGAACACCATAAAGAGTGTATTTCAAATCTCCTTCCTGCCAATTCCAGCAAGCTTAACTTTTCAACCAGTTATATAAAGCATGATATCAAAGTTATTGGAAACACAGATTACATGCATAGTCTCCACACAGAAGAATGCTTGTACATACTGAATGCAAGATTCAAAAATCGAAAAGAATATATATAAAGTGAACAGTAAATTTCTTCCTAGGATCAAGGCCATTAAAAGTCATATGAGAAAGAAACTTGTATGGCATTGCATTATTCTTGTTATACTACTTTTGATGTCACCCAAAGAAGGGTACAAAATATAAATAACCTACAAACACACTTAACAGAGAAACGTAGCGACATCCAACAGAAGCTTACTCACATTGGAACCACTGACAAACGGTTTCATGTCTAAGGTCCGACCAAATTCAACTTTGCGGTCATTCTTTTGCCCGAAATCATATGCCCAGAATCTCTTTAGATGGATGGTAAGTACATGTGGTGCATTGTAAACTGTGAGCTGTTTGGTTGCCTGAACATTTTGCTTGCATCGTTGGCACTGATACTGCCGCTCTCCTCCATCTAAAAGCTCCGCAGCAGTGAAATTTTTAAGTGCTTTATGCAAGGAATCAGCCTTAACTATTTCAAGACTTAAATCTAGGAAGGGATCAAATGTGCTGGAGCCGTAAGAACACTGCAAACATTTAACCTGAAGATATAACAAGAAAATATTATATAATGCATAGAAACACCATTCCATAAGAAGTTTGAACATGAGTTGGAATATATATCAAGTACATGAATTTTCACTGAATAATTGCAACACATCCAAAATTGTGTACAAATCGATGATAGCATTCAGCAAAAAGAATAAAAAGAATATACCTGACTACGAAGACGACCACCAAAGATCTTGTGTACCAAACTCTTCTCATAAGCACTGGGGGATTCACTTGATACTCCTGAAGGTAAGCAGCACTTGTGCATGGATTCTAGCAGGTTTACCATGTATTCGTGTGCATCCTCCTGTTGAGAATTTCGGAAGTTCCGAGATATGCCTAAGCATAAGATAAGAATTACAAGTTCTGGAAACTAGAGAGCAAAATGTCTTACTCAGGAGAGACGATATAGTCAGTAATATTAATGGTAATTCAGGTTTAATTTTGTGTCTTTAACATAAAAATAACTCCCTCAAATGAATTTCAGAAATTTATAATTAACAACATTAACTAATCTCTTTCGGGTAGGGGCTAGAAAGGAAATTTCTCATACACATCAGCTGAACAACAAAAAAGTCAATGGCATAAATATACAAAAAGGATACAGCGCAGGTTTGAGACCAGATCATTTGGTGCTAAAATCCTCCCAGTTGATTGTAGAGCACGCCTGACATGTTTCTGGATAGCACATAAGGCACAAAATCCAGCAATTCGACCTTTCATAAACAAAATGAAACATGAACATCATCAGACAGAAAATATATGAACAGGACATGTAAAACTAGACTTGCACTTAAGGCCAGAACATAACAACCATACGCATAAACACCGAGACACAAAAGCTAAAACACTTGTCCTATATTGTACCACATAACAAGAAGAAAAGAACAATAAAGAGTTAAAGACAAAAAATTATAATTTTGCTCACAAGAATTTTGATGATTGCCGCTTTGTAGATAAGCTACTAAAGGCTCTGTGTATGTCAAACATTGCAATACCGAATTAAGAAAACACGTGTTTCCAAGATTCTCCAAACCAGCACCCTGTCAGTTTTTAAAGCCATGTCAGTGGCTGAATTAAGGATGAGTCTAAAATACAACTGGTTAATATAAGGCTAAAATGACAAAAAAATCGGTTGTAACTGAAATACTTATCAAGAGTGTAACTTTTTAGAGTAATCTGGTGTAACACTCTAAATATGAAAACTAAAGGAAATAGGAAGAATCAAAGATTTAGAGAAGAAAATAACATAAGAACAGTGAGGAGCAGAGGAAGAATAGAAGCAGAAACTGCAAAAGGGGAAAGCCATATTCATTTCATTCATATCATTTTTCATATATTCCTAACCCCAAACATATTATATTTATAACCAATGAAGCCCAAAACCCACTATACATTTATTTATTTGTAAAAAGACTCTTTACAATACTTCCCGATCGGGAAATGTCCTTGTCTGCAAGGATTAAAACATGGAACAAAATTCGGATAGCAATCGAATCTTGTGCTCTTTCCTGAAAATCTTTAAATGGTTGGACCAAGCGTTCTTGAATGCTCTTTTCACAATATCCGATGTCTGATCGTGAACTAGTAATAATCTTGCCATGGTTACATTGGCGAACCAGCGTCCCCCGGGGTCAAAAGCCTCACGATTCAATTCATAATTTCCCTTGTCAAATGTTTTCACTCGAACAACAAATGGATACACGTTTGGGTAATATTTGAAACTGAAAATTTTACATTATTCTTAACAAATAATGTAAATTACATAATTATTCTGATTACAACCTAAAAAGTTACCGCACAGCAGAATTACCCCTAAATTAACAGTAAAAAACTACCTATACTATCACACAGAAATCTCAAAACCGCATATGAAAAACAGACCCCCGCTTGTTTAAGATGTGTATAAAAGCAAGCTCAAATAAGTAACCCGTTTAACCATTCATGAAATCATCCACAACAAAACAAGAAAAAGGATAAAATTTCAATGAAGTCATAAAATAAAGAAATACTAAGCGCCACGGAGATAAGATTGAACATAAAAGAACCCGAAATAAAAGCTTACAATTTTACGAAAAGTATTCTTCAAACTGAGAACTGGATCCAAACCATTCTCCCACATATCCGTCCCATCAACCTTCCTTCCTGTAACACCCGATAGATCAGACCCTACTCCGTTTACTCGCTTCGAATCTAGCCCAGGGTTTAGCGTCTGTATTATAAAATCCCCACCGTCCAATCCCTTAAAGGGCTTCCTCGCTGGATGAAACTCGATCTTTTTCTTAGACAGATCAAAATTGGAAGAAGAAGCTACCGAGCAGTTTCGAAGATCCGAACGCTCCTCCATTTCAGCTTCGACTGTCAATTCCGAGCTACTAATCATCGATGCTTCCATGTTCAATAAGCAGTAAAATTTGTCCCCGTTTTCAATCCAAACGAAAGGAGATTTTTCAGTGGAAGAAAATGCACAAAAATAACGATAATAAAGCAGAGAGCTATTTCGGCTTCTAAGAAAGAGCAGGAGAAAGAGAGAGACGAAGCTCACTATTAAACCCTACAGCAAATACCCCCAACAAAAAAAAGGCTGAATACCAAAATAAGTGCCCAAACTATACCCATTTTTCAAAATAGTTACCTAAACTAATTTTCGTCTCATGTAGGTGACTAACGTTACCTATTTAGATGTTTGAGTTGGTAACGGTGTTAATTTTCCCGTTAAATGACACGTTTTTATAACCTGCTAATTTTAAAAAAATTATTTAAAATTATATATATTTTTAAAAAATAAAAAACAAAAATTTTGAAATAAATTTAAAACTTTAAAAACTTTTATTTTAACCCCTAAACCCATGTCGACTGCCGCCTTTAACGTCGGCGAAGCTCCCCCGAACTCTAGGATTAAAATCATGATTCCACACAATTTTGTCGGCCAATCGACGGAAAATACGACGGTATATGAGTAGGAGGATTGCAAGGACTACGTCGATGGTGTAATCGTGACCGGAAATGACAGAGGCAGCAGATTAAGGTTAGAATTTTAGATTTTGGAGTTATTTAATAACATAAGTTAGTTTTTTATAAATATCATAATATTTTTAATATTTTATTTAAAAAATAAATTTCACAATCATCATATTATGACACGTGTCACTTAACGGTGAAATTAACGTAGTTAACGATTCGGATAAATAATGTTTGTAACGTTAGACACATGAATAAACAAAATTAATTTAAAACTATTTAAGAAAATCAGTATAATTTTATCACTTATTTTTTTATAAAGCCAACAAAAATAATATTTTTCTAATGGGAAGTTGATATGTTAACGTGGGGCGCGACGCAGCTGATTATAATTAGTTGGTGCAACGCGCTTAGGAACAACCAATAAGGAACCGCCACGACAGGAGAAATATAACATATGTTTCATAAGATGCCCCGAGTTCTTGTCATTTTGTGTGGCTGGACTGAAACATACAAAAGAGCTATAAATACAATTTTCCCGAATAATAAAAGGAGTATCTGTTCCTTTTAATTATAAGGCAAATGAGGTATTAGTTTACTTAGTATTAAACTTTTAAAAGTTTTGATCCTTTTTCATCTTTGGTTGATAGACAATAACATTAATTTTAATATTAGTCACTAATTGTTGGTGTTTTCTTTAATTTTCTTTAATTTTTTCTTTATTTCTAATAACTATATTTTTATGCTGTGTTTTTCACTATTTTTTAATTAAGGGTGTTCAAATCCGGGTACCCGAAATTTCGGATCCTCAACTACTTGATTGGTCGGCTCGTGTCCCGACCCAGATGTTACAGGTATCCGGTAATCATGTACTCAGATTTCCGACCCAGGTGTTCAAATTATTAATTAAAAAACATACACAAATTTAAATGTTTGAATTACATACTCCAACATCTAAACATTAAATTTAAAAGTTAGAAATAAAAAATTCAATATTATAATATAAATAAACCATGTTTAAAGTAGTGGAGGATAAATATTAGGTGCTATTCGTCATTTTAAAAGATGGGATGGACTTGTAATATCTCACTTTGTATTTGTAGATGATGTCATTTTTTTATAGGGTTGACAGAAATGTAGAAACAATTTTAAGTGCCTTAGCCCGATTTAGTTACTTTTCGGGTCACAAGATCAATGGTCGGAAAACCCTTAATTAGCTAAATCTGTTGTGATTGGATAATCCATGCATGCAAATGGTGTTCATTTCGGCATCAATTTGTAATGAATTTGAGAAGATTCAATTAGGGGGTGATTTTACTGTACGGCGCCTAAAAACGGCTAAAAATAGTACGATCTGTTAAATAAGTGATCGGTTAAAATTTAGATCGGTTATGTTATATCATTTAACCGGAAATATTATCAAGTACAATAATATATTAGGTAGCGCTTATATAATGTAATATGTAGCGCTTATATTGACATATTTTCTAACTAAATATGTATATTTAAACCAGTAACATTGCAAATTTACCTATTATATTATAATTATCGGTTTTGATGTTTTTGGGATTGATACAATTTTAAATGTATCGATATTTTATGCGTGCACCTCGTTGTGCTTTCATTTTGGGAAAAAAGTATTGACACATATTTAAAAGTGTCGATACATAATGTAAATCTATTTGCTAATTAACCAGTATATTTTTACCGGTTACATTATAAATTTACTTGTTACATAATAATTATCGATTTCGATGTTTTTTGAATCGATACTTTTCATAAATGCATCGATACTTATGCGTGCACCAGTTTGAGTTCTTCAATTATAAGTTTATTCTTTAAGAAACTAAAACTTGCCTAACTTTATCCTATGAAGATAATAAGAGTATATCATAAGTTTGCGTTGAGAGATGTTTGTTTATGGGTTTTTGTTTTTTGAGAAACTGATAACATGGTGGGTTTCCCAATGTTATTCTTTTATTACTGCAAAGTTTTTGTTATTTTCTTAATGGGTTTTGCTTAAAATATCCAACTTTTTGTATTAAAAATAAAAATTTAAAATAAAAATGATCATACAAGCACACTTTTTTACTACCGGTTTTGTCATTTCAAGACCGATTTTGTCATATTTTTACCTGTTATATTGTTATGGATCGATACATTTTTATAAAGTATTAACACTTTATTAGCGATATAACTTATTCTCTTTTAAATTCCAAAAGTATCGATACTTGTAATAAAGTATCGACAATATCAACATATCTGGTAGCGCTTTACCTGTTTTGTCATTTATAGACCGGTTTCGTCATTTTTTTACCTGTTTTATTGTTATGGATCGATACATTTTTATAAAGTATCGACACTATCAACATATTCGGTAGCGCTTTATCTGTTTTGTCCTTTATAGACCGGTTTTGTCATTTTTTTACCTGTTATATTGTTATGGATCGATACATTTTTATAAAGTACCGACACTTTCAATATATCCGGTAGCGCTTTACCTGTTTTGTCATTTATAGACTGGCTTTGTCATTTTTTTAACTGTTATATTGTTATGGATCTATACATTTTTATAAAGTATTGACATTTTCAATATATTCGGTAGCGTTTACCTGTTTTGTCATTTATAGACTGGTTTTGTCATTTTTTACCTGTTATATTGTTATGAGTCGATACATTTTTATAAAGTATCAACACTTTCAATATATCGGTAGCGCTTTACCTGTTTTGTCATTTATAGACCGATTTTGTCATTTTTTACCTGTTATATTGTTATGGATAGATACATTTTTATAAAGTATCGACACTTTCAATATATCTGATAGTGCTTTACCTGTTTTGTCATTTATAGACCGGTTTTGTTATTTTTGTATTTGTTATATTGTTATGGATCAATATATTTTTATAAAGTATCGACACAAACCGACAAGCTAAGTTTGTCGGTTGCCAAATTTTTTAATATTTCTTCATGATTTCCACCTATTACATTATTATTACTCGATATTTTCGGTAGTACTAAACCGAATTTGTCAAATATCTTTTAATGTATCTAGTAACATCGTATATTAACCGTATATTAATCCGCCTTTCCAGATACAATCCCCAGAGACAATCAAATGGGATGAAAGTTGCAAACCAGCAAACCTTGATGAACAAAATGTCTTTTCTCATAAGAGTTGATCATAAACAGGGACACTTTATGGGCTAAAATTCTGAGGGTGGATGATGTAACTGGGTACCCGAAAAAATATTAATTTTGTGATTCGGGCCCGACTTGAGAAATGTCAGGCCGGGTATCCGACTCGAAACTTGAAATTTTTATAAAAATATACCTGGATATTTTGATCGGGTCGACAGGTTAGGTCATTCGGGTCATCCAGATCGAGTATTTTTTAACTCCTCTACTTTCATTATATTCTCAGCATTTTACAGTCATTATTTTCGTTTATTCTTTTATAATTAAATTTTACGTCGTTGTGACTAACCAAGATGACGTTCATTTGTTATAATATTGATATCCCTATTTTAGATTTTTGGATTAGATTTGGATACATGATTTTTTATCATAGATAGTTTTCTCAAAATGGTTAGCTCTAATTTGAGTTTGTTGGTGGTCTTTTAGTAGTTTGATTTCATGTTGTAATTCGTTTTTGGATTTAGTTAGATATGTTCGTATATATATCTTTTGTTTGAGTTTTTTGGATGAATTTTACACATTTTACCTGTATGATCTTAAACTCTAGTTTTTGTGTTAATGATCATAGGAAATGTCTTAATTATGTGTTTTTATGATTATAAACATAAATCTTAATCGTAATTTTAGATATTTCATCTTTTTAATAAAACTAGCTACTTTTGTTTCTGGACAATGACAACTGAATTTCATTAATAAAAATTGAGGAATCAAAATTACAACGCATCTAAAGAGAAAATTGGAGACAATAGTCACCAAAAACTCATACATAAAATTAAAATATTAAGTTCAAAGATACGAAGAGAACGAAACATTTCAAACATCAAAACAATCCAGTAACATTCATAAAACTCATTGTCTCTGTCGAACGAGACGCTTTACGATGCGATAAAGAAGTGGTGAGCGAATCAAATAATTTGAAAAACTGCTTAGCTACATAATTCTGATTATATCGACAAATGACCATTTACAAAAGAGAAGATCTCACAATACGTGACCATCGACAAGCCAATTAGAAAAATAAATGCCATGAAGATCTTTGTAGAAGCACCAACACGACCGCATAAGTATGCGAAAAACTTATCGAAAATCATGATGAACGTACCGCAAGAGCAGAAAAAAAAACTTGTCACAATGACAGATATTCTTATTTAGAAGTGACAAAAACTCAAGAAAAAAACAAAGACATAATATGAAAAAGAACAAGAAAAATAAAAATCACCGACAGTCGACAACCAATGTTAAAATTGGTGTCGTCGCTACTAAACAAAAAAATATAGAAATAAAAGAATATTGAGAGAATTTTTTTTTTTGAAAGATGAGAGAAAATATTAGGTTAAAGAAAAGGAATTTTATACTTAAGTAAATTTAATAAGAGAAAATATTAAATGTACGCCAAGCTACTTTTATTTATGTAAAAGAAATAAGAATATTTAAATGATAAAAAGACTTATACTATAAATAAATATTTAAATTATATTATTTTATCTAAATATTTAAAATATTTTTTTGTCAAAATAAACGTCTAAAGTTAGAGAAAACTACATATTTAATATTTAAACTATTACTTTCATTTTATTTTGATACTTAAATAATATTTTTTAAAATTATACTTAACATTTAATTTAGGATAAATAGTATTTTTTATTAATTACAAAACAAATATATGGTTTAATATAATGATTAAGTATTCGACATCCATAATAGAAGCTTCCCAATAAATTTCCACCTAACGTTATATTTTACTTAACCAATAAGACTATGATAATTTTATCCACAAAAATTGTGGATTAATAATTAAAAAACGAATATGTTTTAATAATCAATGGTACAATTTACCTATTAGATTATTTATTTAGATGTATTGAAAATCGATTAAGGGCCAGTTTTAGGTATGGACATGGGTCGATCGAATTTTTAAACACCCCAACTCTGACCATATTAATATATTATTCTACTCGAAATTTGATTCAACTCAACCTAATGTTCAAGAACCATCCCTAAACCAATCAATTCAACCCAAAAATTATGGTTCATTGACTTCATTCAGAATGAAGAATAAACAATAAAAAAACCAGATTCAACTAGAAATTAGAGTTCACTCAAAATGAGAATAAACAAAACCCCAACATATTCAAGCCATTAGAAATTCATTTTTCAAAACTTATTCCTAAACATTTATCAATTTGGATTTAAATTAAAAAATAACAGAAAATGAGTTTTTTAGGATTAAAAGATAAAATATTAGAGATTGCAAAGGAAGATTACAGTGAGTTCTTTTAATCCCAGAAAAAAGTATCTTATTAAAACTTAAATCTATCAATGGGTTCTTTAGGATTAAAAGATAGCAGATTTTGGTTTTCAACAATAATCTTATTGTTAGAAGAAATAAAAGATTACATATCTTATTGAAACTTAAATCTATCATCGGGTTCTTCAGGATATTAGAAGAAATAAAAGAACAAAGGAAGATGAAAAATAAAAGATAAAAGTAGAGGACGCTCATAGCACAAGAAAGTGAAAGAACCGAGAAAAATACTAGAAATAGCAAAGAAAAGTAAAAGGAGAGAGAATATATTCGGCCATCTTTAGCCCTCATCTCATCTCTACTCTATAGCATCTCTATCTCTACTCTAAAGATGAAATAATAATTCATCTCTAACATTATCCCTACATTACCATCAACTCTACTTTATTCACAATATTTAACTATTATAATATTGATTTTACAAATATAAAATAAAACATATACATTTCTAATAAATATCAAGATAAAAAGCATAAATAAAACATTCATAAATAACATTGCGAAAATATAAATAAATAAGAAAATTACAATTCATAATAATAATGTGAAAAAACATAAGTTACATAATTATATATTTTAATTATCCGAATTAGAATATTCATTCTACAAATACTCAGTTAGTGCATTTCGTAGAGCAAAAAATTAGTTTTTATGTTTAAAAAAATTAGTATGTTTATTTATCTAATTTCAATATATTTTTATCTATATTGCAATTTAATTTACTTGAATTTATTATATTATGTTTAGTTTTTTATTTTATTGTGTAGAAATTACAATAAAAAAGCACAAAATAAATTAAAAAAACAAAAATCAGAAAAAATAACAAAACAAATGTAGCGCAGCTACAATGCAACGCCAGTTGTGGCATGCACTGTAGTCCGATGTCACAATTCAGCATAACAATGGCGATGGGCTAGAGTATAAGATCATCTCCAAAGTGGAGATGAATGCCACTCCAGCGATACACTAGAGATGGCCTTAGGGAGTATTGTTGGAACGGTAGAAGAGTGGAAATGAAAATGGAAAAAAAGAAACCTAATATATATATATATATATATATGGTGGTATTTTTATAAATATATTATGGGTCGAGTTTGGCCGGATATTTTTAATATCTAGTCCAAACCCAATAACCTCTCTCTTAAAATTCAACTTGATCTGACCCGAATTTAAATTTTAAAAGAAAAAACTCAATTCTATCGGATCGAGTCGGATTTAGGTCCTCCATAGTCAATTTGATATAAATTTTGAAAATAATTTTAAAAATACTGTAAAAATAAACTTTTAAAAGTGTTGTACAAAAGTACAATTTAATATGTTTACTTCAGCGGGGCTGAACCGGTCAGTTTAGTTAAGTGCCAAGGGATAGCCGCAGGTTAGCTGACGGACTCGCAAAAATGGCCTGGAAGAACGCCGTTGATATAATGCTGAATTTATAACACCAATGGATAGGGGTGTTCAAATCCGAGTACATGAGTTTTTGCGTAATTAATTCGTCGGCTCGTGTCTCGATTAGGATATGTCGGATACTCGGATTTTGTGGATACATGTAATTCGGCTAATCGGTATCCAATTTTTTTTATGTTTTCAAATTACTAATTAAAAAAAATGATATTATTAAATAAAATATTATATTAATTATTAAAAATACACTGCTGGCTGGGTGATGAGGAAGAAGGGAGAAAGGAGCAGTGAAGAAGGGAAGAACCAGTTTTGGGGTTGATTGCAACAGCTGCATTGGGAGAGATGGAGATTGTTCTTCTTGATCCTGTTGAGAGATTGAGGGTAGCTGAAGGGATTTGGGTTCTTTTGGAATTAGTAGTGAGACAGTGAGTCAATGTTATTAGAGACATTGAAGCCATTGTTCTCTCTGTTTAACTTTCTTTCTTATCCGATTATCTTTTGGAGCTGCACTTTCAATGCTTCAAATGGCTTCGGAAAAATGATATATATTATTATATATAAAAAATAAATGTAATCGAGTATTCGGGTAACCGGATACTCGAAAAAATATATTTTTGTTATCCGGGTCCGCTCCAAAAAATGTCGAGTCGATATCTTACCCAGTTAGATAAATTTTTTTAGATAATTACTTGATTTTTTTTAGTTAGGGTCATCGGATCAACGACTGAATCAAGTAGGTGAAGTATTTTTGAACAACCCTGCCAACGAAGATCCAACAGATGGCTGCTGCAGAAGAGTAATACTGGGTAGTTTTTGCTAAAGGCGTTTGAGCCCTCTTTGTTTTTAAAAAAATTAATTGTTTAAGATTTTTATTAAAAAGTGAGTTTAGAAAAATAAAAAATATATTATAAATATTATTATATATGAATAATATCAATTTACACTATAATAAATTCAAAATATTATTATTACATATGCATTATATAATTTAAACTATAATAAAAATTTAAAATACAAATAAATATATAATTATAATAAAAATATATCTTATATGACTCGCTATTAATATTTTAATATATAAATTATAATTATTTTATAATTATTTTTAAATTATTTTTTAAGAATATCAGTATTAAATTATTAAAATAACATGTAAATACATAATTAAGTGGAGTTCATGCATTAGTAAAAATAAAATTATAATTTATTTTCAAACACAAAGTGTAGACACTAATTTTCCAGCGCCACATGTCTCCTCCCCGAAGACTCCTCCTGCAGCCAATTTTCACAGCAACCAAAGAGCGTTAGAAGTCTATTTTGTATAGGATTCTAAAAATAGTCTGCTTTTTTCATTATAAATACATGTAATCTATATCATTTGTAACACACGAATGGAGATGTGAAATACAAGCAGAAATTACGAGCAATCTTAGAGAGAATCAGAGTTTTTTTTTCCTGTAAGTTTTCGAAGAGAAATACAAGGTAAATATAGTACATTTTTCGAGTTTACGCTTGCATGCTTGTGTCTCGTTACATTTTGTATTCGAAAAACACCAAAGAAAACGATTTTTTTGCCGATGAACAGGGGTTTTTTCGGGATTTATTTTTATAGATCTAGCCCCGAGGCTTCTTTTCTTGAGAAAATACTTTGATTTTCGGAATGGGTGTGAAAAAGGGGTAATCTCACTCTTGGTCCCCTCGTTTATAAAGGATTTAATTTCCACCCTGAAATCCCAATTCATCCTCGAAGTGCTCCAAAATTTGTCATTCGATTTTCTATTTTTACATTCTAGTCCGTTTTCTAGATTTGAATTTCAATTTTCTTCTTATTTTATTTAATATTACATTATAGTATATATTTGATATTACTCCTGTATATTATTATTATTTATTTCCTTTTGTTGTTATGTATATACATGTATCATTATTATTTTATTATTTACTTATTTTATTTATATGTTATATTATATGTATATATATATTTTACGTTATTTCTTAATATTTTTCTTTATATATTTTTTAGTTTACAAGCTAATATGTATGTATTTCCTTTTTACTTTTTTTCCATTCGTTTTGTTTATTTATTTTATTTTTATTTTCTTTATTCATTGATTCATTTTTCCTATTTTATTTATTTATTTATCTTATTCCATTGTCTTTATTTTTTTATATATTCCTTTTATTTTCATAATCTCCATATCAACTGTGTTGTTTACTTTTCGTCCATATTTGTTAGTATTTTTTATCTCTTCTTTATTTCATTTTCTTTATTTTCAATTTATCTTCATCGTTTTTGTTTTTCTAACATTTTTCTTGATTATTTAAGGGTTCGTTTTCCAAACCTTAGAGGTGAGTAATTTGGATCGTCATTTTATCTTTTAATTTAACTTACAATTTTCTTAATCAAAGACAACTGGAAATTACGTAGTACCGAAAGGGCAGTTCAAGGATGCTAACCCTTCCTTGACTTTAACCGACTCCTGAATCCGACACATCTTTGGTAAAACACAGATCAGGTAAGAAATAGGGTGTCCGATCAACCCATTTGCTTTAAAATAAATGATCGGTGGCGACTCCTAATCCATTTTCCTAAGTCGAAGCCCAATTCTGGGGCCCAACCGAAAGACGGTTGCGACAACTTGGCGACTCTACTGGGACAAATAAACGAGTCAGGCTAAGGTAATTCCAGTTGTCTTTTTAATGAGAAGGGTAAGTTTAAATTTTAAGGTAACATTTCGATCCTTATTGCTTACTTTTGGTTATATTTTTCCGAGTAAATAGTTAACTGACCGTTTTCTAATAATTATAGTTTCTAGAACTTTTTTTCATCTAAAGGCTCTATACCCGAGCTCCGAACCCGTTTTAAGTGGGGGTGAAAGCGACGCATTCGTGTGAATTTATTCACTGCATATGCCTAGCAAGTAGCCTTCGGGATTCATATACCTTGTGTCTTCGTGTGAATTTATTCTCCGCATAGACATAAGGGAATGTATCCTCTCGAGTTTAACTTAGTCCACACAAACCTGTGATGGGTTTAGAACTAAGGGTCTGACAAGCCCAAGGGGGCACCAGTAAGGAGAACTCGGGTATCGTTTTTTAGAACATAAACCGGAAGACTATGAAGAATTAGAGCTACCCCGAAACCACATTCCAAAACCTAGGATATTTTTTCATATCTTTTTGTTTTTTTCTTTCATCATTTTTATTTATTTATTTATTTTTATTTTACTAACCTTTTTTACCTTTGTGTTTGTTTTTTTAGCATTTGCATCATAACAAGAGGCTATTAATCCTTAAAAAGTGTTTATTACACACAAAATAATCTGAATTAATGGACAAAGGTGTTGTAATACAAGAGATTAAGAACCCCGAGGTACGACTATGGTCCGAGAAGACTCAGAAGGAAAAGGGAGACAGTCTTCAAGGAAACTATGTGTCAGAGCTGGTTAACTACGCCTCTATCAACCTAAAACAGAACAATGTGCAAGAACTTCGAGATATTTGAGACAGTTGGAAGAATGATCGGAAACAGAAGTTCAGTCAGCGGTATGGTAACATTGCACTTTTGATTCATGTTAAGACCGATGAGCCCTTAATCAGAGTATTGGTTCAATTCTGGAACCCGGGATACAATTGCTTCACCTTTAACCAGGAGGACATGGTGCCCACCATCGAAGAGTATACTACATTACTGCACTGCGAAAGCATTAGACTAGAGAGGGTATATATCAAACACATTAAAAGTCAACCTTTCAAGAGTGCACTAGCCAAGGTTGCTGGGGTTGACGAAAGATGGGTAACAGACCGAGCTCGATGTAAAGGCAGTGGGGAAGGAATTTCCTGGCTTCATATCAAGCAACTGATGAAGGACCATCCCGATGAGTGGAAGGCAATAGACCTGTTTGCACTGGGTCTGTATGGCCTGATTATATTCCCGAAGACTTTGAGGTACATTGATGCAGCCGTGGTGGAACTCTTTGAGCAATTTTTAAAAACGAGTCAACCCAGCATCAACCATCTTAGCCGAGACCTTTCGGTCTCTCAACCATTACCGAAGAGTTGGCGGAGGTAAATTCATTGGGTGTGTTCAGCTCTTTCAAGTCTGGATTCACATCCACTTCAGGAAAACTAATGGGGTTGCCTACCGCCGATTTAGCACTACGTATTCACCTTTGAGAGAGTTCATCACCATGAAATGACATGAAGGCACTTCAAAAAAGAAGTGGATGAAAGTCTTCACTCATCTCCAAGATCATGATATTACCTAGAGAGCCCCCTAGTTGTTCCTCAGTGACGTTCTTTTTTGATGTAGGGACTCCGACACTATGACCTTACTTGGACTTTGGGGTGCAGTTGGGTATGCTCCGTTGTTAGCACTTAGATAGTATGGGGTACGTCAGTTTGTCCCAGCAACATGCGGACTAGCCAGATCAGAGTTTGAGTATCACGGTGATAACTATAAGAAGATGATCAAGGAAGCAGTCGATTCATGGAATAAAGTATTCCGGATGGATGTTGTAGTTGCCAGAAACATGCTTACTCCGGACTATGTGGAATGGCGAAGATTGAGAAAAAATGACAATATCCCAGTGCCAGACTGTGAGGACACCCGAACCCTGGAAGAACATCTCAGGCCTGTCTTTTCTGAACTTGAGATAGCCAAGACAGAGTTTGAAGCTGTGAATAACGAGCTGAAGCAGAGGGTAAAGGAGCATGAAGCTGAGCGCTATCAGTGAAAGCTAGATGTCGACTCTCAGAAAGATCGAGCAGACAAACTTGAAAAAGAACAAAAAAAAGTTTGTTTTGAGCTCGAAGACTTGAGAAATGGGTATCAAGATAAAGTCAATGATAACTCCAAGTTGAAAGTGGCTTCTGAATACTGGAAAGATGAAGCTCATAGCATGAAAAGAAAGTTCGAAGGGCCTGATGAGAGAGCTTGGAAGGAACATATGAAGACTGCCCAGAGGCGCTTAGTAGACAGTCAGCATCAAAACCAATGCTTGAGAATCCAGATGGCTGATCTGGAGACACAACATGAGAGAGATGGTAAAACAATAGCTGAGTTAGAAGCTATTGTAGATGGGTTCAAGAAGAAAGTGAGCGAGCTTCAGATAGTGCTCTTCGACGGAGGTTTACAGTGGCATTTCCGTTAGGAGCAAGTACAACAAAGGGTGAAGGCCAGAGACGCAGTCATCTGAGACTTCCTGGATCAAGTACAAAAGCAGCTCGTCATCTACACGGCCTGGCAAGGGAAGCTGGAATGGTCCGACAAGGTATACAACCAGTGACAGATGAAGACAGAAGACTTGTCAACCTACTAGAAGCTGTTCAGGGTCTAGAGGATTTAGTCCGAATGTACCTTTGATCATTTTTATGTCTCTTACAAGATAAAACATTTTTGTCTAAGTAAAGATTATTTATAATAATGAACACTTTTCTAGATCAATGCCTCGAACATTTCATGCATTTTGCATTTTGCATTTTTGCCTTTTTGCATCTTCATCTACATTTTAAGCATTTTCACAAACATGAAATTAAGTCATGAAGGACTCGATGAAGTGGATTTAACCACATGGAAGCAAGATTGTAACGTTAAAGAGCCTGATCAGCTGATGGTAGGACAAAGCCGGCCAGGATGATCTAAGAAAAGAATCCCCATATCCTAAGGACTACGATGTTGAAGCTGTTAGCTGTTACCACATAAGAAGCCCTAAACATTCCTCTGAGAACTATAAGGCACTGAAGCACAAGATCCAAAACCTGATGGATTCAGGGGCATAAAAGGTCGAAGAAGGGGGCATGACATATACCATTTGCACTTAGAGGATTGTTTTGCTTAAACACTTCTCTAATCTTTCATCGTTTGCTTAATCTTTTAAAGGATTGAATTTATGCTACTTTCTAAGGTGGAGCAATTGAACAAATTCTAATATTTAGTTCTTCGAATATTAAATGAATTAAGAATTCTTTTAATTATTCAAGAATTATAGATTTTTGACATATGGCAAGGTTAGACCTTTCTTATCCTGTCTCAAACCCCAAAATAAAATACCTTGATTCTTTACCCAAAATAACTCATGGTCATTACCAAAAAGATCAAATTTTGACATTACCTCCCTTTGAAATTCTTGAACATTACCTTTATCTTTTTGATACACCCACACCTTTCTTTGAGTCAATAAGATCACACTATTGTCTTTTTAGACTCAAATTGACATTTTTACACCATTAAAGCCCACAACATCGAGTTGTTCATTTGAACATAAGCATTCTTCTAAGACATAACTTGGAGCATCTCATAGGGAGCTTGAACATTAAGACTTCTGGGGGAAAAAGAAGAAGAATTCATCCGAAATAATTATATCATGCATTAATTACACTGTTTTCATGTAAATAGAATTAATCCTGAAAATCTATCCCCCTCGGGATACCTCTTCTGTGAGGACTTCCATGTATGAAATGATGAACGACTTTTTTTCTTTATCCCTTCACAACAGGAGAAAAAATATATCCCTTGTGTCCTCTTTTGAGCCTATAGTATTTTTCTTCTGATTCAACCCTAACCAAGGATCACCCTCCACACTGGGGGGCAAGGTGGAAGAAATCTGCTCACATGAGTGAAGACATCAATCCAAAGGAAATACCAAAAGGTGAGCCAAATACCAAGTGCGAAGATTCAATCAAGAACAAACAAGAAAAGAAGCAAAAAAGAAAAAAACAAGAACAAAAAAGAAAAGAAGCAAAAATCAAAAGGAAAAGGGACAAAAAGCACATGCAAAGATTCCCTAAAGACAAATGACACATCAAGCTTCAAACTATGAGATTGATCAAGCACAATCATTCTTGAATCACTGAATCACTTCACTCGAAGATCATAAAGCATCAAGAGAAAGAGATATTTTGAGCAAGACAAGATCGAGGGCATCAGAATGAATTGATCCTTGGTTCAATACCCTGAAACACTTATTTGGGCCTATTTATCCTTTTTTTCATAACCATGAGCCCTGGCCTACATTACGTGCCTTAAAAGTCCCTTCTAATCATACATGGATTTCTAAACAGAAGATACTATCTTCAGATTTCATCCCGCCCATCAGGATTAATTTGCAAAAAAATAATGTAATTAATGCATGGTAGAGAAAAATGACAAAGGGGGGTTCAAGACGTAAATCCTGAATAACTTCTTGAAACCAAAGGAGGGTTCGAGTTGAAAACCTGAAAAGGCGGCTCGAATATAAAAATTGTGCAACTGAGGCGATCACACAAATTCCTTGATAAGGCATCGCACAATCCGAGTGTGACAACGAAGGTTGGGAGTCAGAGAACACTTCCAGCAGAGAAGCATGCAAGCTACCCCATCAATCCTTTGAGCATAAAATGCCAAACCTTTGACCAAACACGATAATCTGAGACTTTTTTATCCGTTCCTTACTTAACTATTTCCCAAAGATAGCTTTGATCTTGACACTTGTCAAATAGCTATAATTTATTGAAGGATTAACATTGTAATTAATTCTTTGATATCCAATGAACTCTAGTTTTATGATTCGTCTCAATTGTAAAACCGTGAAAGTGATAATATTTTCAAAACTTTTGGTTAAACATTTTTCGAAACTCTTTTAATTGATATTTTCATATGAAAATAAAAGAGAAAGAAAAATATATTTTTTTAAACAAGACAGTCTCTCTAGAGTGGATCTTGGTAAATGACATGTGACTCTTAGACACGAAGCTCGTGCTCAGAAGCAAGAAATGAGGAACATTTGGGGTATCTTTGAAGATTTAACATCAAATATTGGGGCATCTTTGGGGATTCAACATCCTAATGCGAATTATCAGACCTTCTGAAGGCATTTCCTCAACATGAAGGAACAAGAAGGCAAAAATGAGGCTCTATCCAAGAGATAAATGACATTAATTCATGTTGCATGCATCTTAGACATACTTGAGAGCATCACATTTATCATTTTTAGCATATATAATTTTTGCAGCTTTAGAGTCAAGTTTCAACTTCAATGCGAAAGATACCTGATTCAATAGAGTTTGTAAAAATCAATAGTGATTGCTTAACTCAGTAGCAAGGAGGTACGCCTCAACTAAATTGATATATTGAAAGATCGACAGATCTTAGAATCACCTTCAGACGAGTTCGAGAGCTAATTCAGAACCGATCCAGTTCGTATTTTCAAGTTGGATTTCAACTTCACGACGAAGGATATCCAATTCCTGGCTCAACTTCATGGCGAAGGGGCCACCCACGGTTTCAACTTCACGACGAAAGGAATCGTGCTCACCATTGTCTCTCTTGAGACAGTTTCCCTTGGAAAAAAACCTTTGAAATTGTTTCTCTTGAAACACAAAAACCTTTGAAACATAAACATTGAAAATATTTCCCTTGAAATTAATTTTGTCTCTCTTGAGACAGTTTCCCTTGAAACAAAATCTTTGAATATGTTTTCCTTGGAA